TATATAGAGGCAAGAGTGAAGCCCTCTTTACTCTTCTGAAGTCTTTCATTACTTCTAATCTAGATTTAAGAGTCTCTAGTTTCCTTGTCATTTGGCAATAGCTACTCCAATTTCTTTTTAATATACATACTACTTTATTTTTATTTTACCATTTTTCTTTTGACATAGATTTTCCAAGTTTATGCATCTTCTTCTAGTTCATGTTTTTAAAAGTAGGTTTGGCTTGTGATGTTTGAACCTTTATATACTCCTGGAAGTCATGTCAACATAATAAAGCATGCAACCCAGTGTCTCTTAGACTATTGCAGCCAATTTTGTTACCTACGATACGTTGGGAACATATGACTATAGATCTTATTATGTATTTGTTACAAACGCCTCATAATCATACCGTGGTTGTTGCCTTTGTGGATCAACTCTTAAAGCAACTTTACTTGACCAAGGTACGCTCAGATATTGATGCTCGAACGCTTGTACGAGTCTTCTTTGATATTGTCTTTTATCACCATGGATTACCTCGTATCATTGTTTCAGATTGGAATCCACACTTCACGAGAATTTTTTGACAAGCCTTATTCAAGCTACTAGACACATGACTTGTCATGTCTATAATCTTCTATTCTCAAACAGATGGATAAATAAAGCTTGTAAATTGGACTGTGGAGGATATATTGTGGACATTTGTAGTGGTTCATCATAATGATTGGAATAAATACTTGATATCTTTGAAATTTACTTATAATAATAGTATTCAAGCAAGTACCAATTATTTACCATTTTTTTTGAATATCTATCAATATCCGATTATGCCAATAACTTTCCATCATTCTATTGATAGCAATAACCTGACAATGAAGGAACTTATATAATGGCTTACAAGAGGTACAACATTGCAACCTTATTGTATAGTTTCAATAAAAGTAGTATGCAGATAACCATCGACAATACAAGACCTTCTAAGATGGTGATCATGTATTATTCTCCAATGCCAACTTGCCACTTGCTACATCAATCCAAATCCATAAACTAGCACTTTGGTGGCTTAGACCTTTTTGCATTTTTGTAGTGATTTTTGATGTTGCATATCACCTCAAGCTTCTTCCACATATTTGGGTATATGTAATCTTTCATATTTTGCAATTGAAGGAATTTCATACCGAGTCAAAGTGTTTTTCAGATCAACATCAACTACCACCAAGACCAGTTGTAATTAATGACCAATAAGAATATGAAGTAGACAGTATTTTGGAGCATCACTACCTTTGCTATGGCAGTGGACATCTATAATTTTAATATAAATTTCTGTAGAAAGATTATTCTATTTACGATATAATGTAGAAACCTACACAAAAAATTATTTATTACCAAGAGACAATTTAGAGATACTATCAAGAGCAAAATAAGGACATTCCATATTATTAGAGGAGAATTAAGTGTAACAAGGTATAGATAAGATATTTGTATAAGGATAGATAGTTAGAACTATGGAAGTTTCTAGAATTGGAATTAAGTTAGTAGATTACATAGGATCCACATTGGAACATTCTGAAAAGAATTTAGGATGATTATTTAGATAGGATCATCATAGAACTTTCTAAAAAAGACTTAAGATGGTTATTTTGATAGAGACTATTATAGAACCTTCTAAAAGGAATTTAAGGTAATTATCTAAATGAGATCCACTACCTAGGAAGATTCTAAAAAGTCTAAGGTGGTAGAACTAAGTATAAATAGGACTAGCTAGGGCCTTTCGGAGCATCTGATCAAGTATGGCTTCAAACCTTCTCTCTTAATAAAGCTTGGTTTTGCATCTTCATGTTTAGTTTTTTTTTTATATATTTTTATTTGTTCAGTTTTGTCTTCTGTGTCTCATTCTATTTAGTTTTGTTTAGTTTAATTCTAGTCGAGTTTGTCCTACCTTGTGATGAGGTTTTATGTTGGAGTAGATTGAAAGGGTCTTAGACACTTGAAATAAATTGGTCTTCTTTCATCTATAGGGACAATTTTATATATAAACTTAGTGTTTTTTTTATCTTAAGACATGGTTGAGGAATTAGTGATAGCAAGAAGCCTAGCGCTTTCTTAAAGTAAATTCTTTCTATCTTGACATCGTCTTTGAATCTTTTAGGAAGCTTTTCAAGAAGGTATTCTAAAATAAATCTACTTTCATCTACTTATACCTACTTCTATCTTATCATATAGGTATTTATTAGAATATATATGTATATTCATAACAACCTTAGATAAATAACATCAATTAAGGATATTAATTATTAATCAATAATTATATAATCAATAACCATACCTATATTATCAAGTTATAAGTTCATACCATTTTTAATCTGAGAAGTAAAAAATAAAAATATTAATCAATAAAAATGAAACCATAAAGAATTTAAATGCACCACTATTTATATTTACAACTTATATATATATATATATATATATATATATATATATATATATCAATGTTATATTTGAAGTTCATCCCAAGTAATATGCAAAGTTAGGCGAATAAACTCAATATGATTAAATTTCTCAGTAATTTAACAAAAAGAGTCTTCATTACAATCTAATAGAATCTTGAACATAGGATGGACGGCTCTTTCTCCCTTAAGTAGCAATGTAGCAATTCCTGATGACACAACACATATGACTATCTTTTGTATCAACCAAACTTTTGTTGTCAAAGTATTGAAGAAAAATGTCTTACAAATTCTTGCATGTTTGTTTAAAATATGCATCCATATTATTTGAACCTTAAAATCTAGATTTAGACTTTGAATATATTTAATAATATATAATATATAATCATTTAGATTATATATTTCTATTATAATAATAAATATATTTTATAATATAAAATATATAATAATAATATTTATAATTTTAATGATTATAAATAATCATTAAATTATTATAAATATTATATTATATATTATATAATGCTATAATATTATAATGATTATTATATAATGTTATAATATTATAATTATTATTATATAATGTTATAATATTATAATTATTATTATATTATATAATATATTATTTAATATATATAATATATTAAAAATAGATTATTATTATATAATTTAATAATATATTTTAAATATTATTTACTATATATTTATATATTTCTATTCATTTGATTCATCTTTTCCATGACAATGATATAGGTTTATCTAGATTTAAAGTTCAAAGCTCGTTTAAAGTATGATAAAATGAGTTGGTGATAAACAATTCAATCTATGATATTTTCATTGGAGTTTGATTTAAATCCGAACAGTTTTTAAATGAAAATTTGCATGATTTGAGACAATGTTTTTAGCCCTATCACATGAAAAAATGCATAGTCAATAATTGCAACAAACAACCTCCGCATTCACATTGAACATCCACCTCACTCTAAACGCTATTTACCAACATATTTTTCTTATCTTGGATTCAAATATAATTTCAAAAATAAGTAATCATCTGACATACTCAACTAATTTCCAACACCGTTGAGCTGGAAATAATGCAATACACAATAGCTTGTACGTTGGGCTATCCTCATCTTCATTTGTATTCTCATTGGCACAATTAGAGATCAAGATCAAACAAAATTCCATCTCTCCTCATAACTTGTGCTTTGCCTTATTGATGTTTGATTGCTTCCTTCTCTCTAAATTATTGAACTTCACCTTCAATCACATTTAGTTGCAAAAAATAAAATAAAATAAAAATATAGCTTTAATTATATTTAGTTATTGAATTGTAGAAAGAAAAAAAAAAAAAAAAAAAAAAAAAAAAAAATGAATCCCGTGAATTTTGCTTGAGTTTTGGTTAAGCTTTTGCTTCCTTTCAAACTCCAAACAACATTAAGTTTTTTAATAAAAACCAAAAGGGGTGCATGCAGTGAATGAGAGCCACCACTTATCTCCTTTGAATGATCTTAATATATAAATTCCACGTCCTTTGTCAACATTGATAATGCCAAACCTTTTGTTTCCATGCTCTAGACATCCAAATGTCCAGGTAGGAATAGAATCATGTTCTTAATTCACTCGCCTCTCCCTCCTTCTTCTATTTGGGTATGAATAGAATCCTATTTTGTTCACAAAAGTTGAAACTTCATCCAATTCCAAATGCTTTTGTTTAGTTTCGTGATACCAAAATGGAAAATGTAACAATGAATGCATGTTGGATATGCCTATGGTACTTATTAAATATTTTGGCATATTGTTAATAATTTTGTATTATCAATTGATCTTTTTGCAAAAACTAAACTTCAATTTAAAGTTAATAATATATATGGTATTAAGTACTTGTTTATGTTCCAACCATCTTCAATTAAATTATATATTCTTAAGATTGTAATTGATATTATAAAGTTATTATTAAATAAATTTATTATATATATACATATATATTTATTTATTAGTTTTATATTAAAAAAGTTTATAAATTTTCAAAATTTATAAATACAACTTCTATATTTTATTGAATTATTATTTATTTATTATTTTTTTGTTTAAAAAATATTTAAATTAAAGTTTTTAGAAAAGTACTATAGGATCTTTTAATATTTTGATACTCTTCAAATCTCAATTTAAAATTTCTTTACATAATTCTAGAAACCAAATTAATCTTTCAATCTTTTAGTGAAACAATTCTTGATTAAAATTTATTAATATGGTTATAAAACCAAATTAAATTTTAATCTTTTTAGTATTTTTACTGAACACGGACCTTGTATCTTATAAATATAATATGATAATTTACACATGTTTATACTGTTGTTCAAATGTCGTCATCAAACATAACTTCCAAAACAATAAAAATAAAAATAAAAATGTCAAAATTGTCGTGTAGGGACGTCACAAGCTCATCATTTATACTAATCGATGATTTGTGTTTTTGAATGTGTGAACGACGTCCACGTCACCCTGCCCACGTGGATCAACTTTTTATTCATTCCCAACGGAGTGAGTGAATTCCGTCGAAGTGGTTTCGTTCGTAGATTGGACGAGGGCCACCAGAACGGAACCCCCATTCTATGCTTGTGTGCCGCTTAACAGATTTGCGGTGCGCATTGCCGACGCTGCTTGAGCAACTGCGAAGGGTAGAGATCCATCGTGAATTGAACGAGAGCTACGAAGCATTGGTGACACCATGATGGTGAGCTGCCTTGAACGTTCTGTAATTGCTTCGGGTTACGAGCTGACCTTGTAATTTGATAAACTTATCAGTGTCTTGTAATGAGCTTGTGTTCGTTTCATGATTGTCCAGTTCAAAACCCTAAGAATTTAGAGTCTAGTGGATCATCATGAGCGAAACTGCGATTGAAGCACCTCTTATTCGTGATTGAGGTTATGTATTTTCAATTTTCGTTTATAAGGAAGTCAGCGAGTGATTTACGATTTTCCGCATAGTGATATTTAGTGTGAATTTTTCGACGCAGAATCGGTGGCGTTGCGTCAAGTCGCTATCGGAAGCATTGCATCGTCATGGTCTAGCCGCTGCTGCTTCTAACAGCTTCACGGCGGACTTGACCTTAGCGAAACCATTGTATATTTTCTCTCCACTTTGGTGACATAAGTCCAGACGTCTGTTCCTTTTCTGCCCTCCGTTCGATCCTCTTCAACCGTTCTGAATTTTGAAACTCATAATTACCAATGATGTTCTATATTTTCGATGTTGTTTTGCGCTCGTGAAATTTCATGTTTATGATTTAGAGATTTGATTGTGTCGCAGGCCAAACATTTATGCCAAGGAAGCTTCTACAAGTCATTCTGAAAAACTAGTATTACCCTCAGTAGCAGTTAGGACGGACGTCCACTCGTTATGCTTTCTTTGGAGCACATTAAGTAGGCTAAGTTTGAATAGAGAATATTCAACCTTACTTGCAAACCATAGGTTCTGCTCAATTCCTTCAAGGGGCGGAGCGGAGATTTATGGGTTTAGGACGCGGGGATTCAGCAGCCAAGCTGAAATCGCAGCCAAGGCTGGCGCGCGCAGGGCGAAGCTTACATGGGAAAGTCAAACTGCTGGAAAGAAGAAATCAGAGGCCATGTTAATGTATTTGGTGGCTATGGTAACAGCCATGGTGGGAATTACCTATGCTGCCGTTCCCCTGTACCGCAAATTTTGTCAAGCTACAGGTTATGGCGGTACTGTCCAAAGAAAGGAGGTATGAGATATTAAAAATATTATTACCCGCGGTAGTGTAACTCTAGTCCTCTATTTTTTCTTTATTTTTTTGGCATTTAAAGGGTCAGTGATCCTTGCCGCCATTAAAATCATGTTGGCAGAAGTGCACACGTTAAACGCGTCTGTATGATGACTATCAACAAAGCCACTGGATTATTAACAGGCACGCTGCCTTCAACACGAATTTTGGCGAGGATGTATAATATGGTGTCGTCCTGCAGACCGTCGAAGAGAAGATTGCTCGCCACAAGGGTGAAGAGGCTGAATCATCCAGGTTAGGCAGTTGTGATCTCTTGTACCTATTGTTATGAATGTATCAGAAAAAGTGTGTACGTGTGTGAGGTAGAACGTTCTAGTATTTAGTGCCCTTGTGGAGTATTTGCTCTGATACTACTTGCTGATTTAGTAGGACACTGTGACTCCATGGAAAAAGGTTGGTGATGTGATGTGGAGCGATTGGTATGACAGGGTTGTGGCCATATTGTTGGTTCTCGTACGGGTTGAGGATATTGGTCACATTGTTTCTTAACATGTTTTCAAGTTTGAAATTGAAGTCTAGGAATAGTAAATGACACATTTCATGTCAACCTAACATTATTTGTGATATGCCACAGGGAATTGGTAGTACAGTTTAATGCCGATGTCGCAGATGGTATGCCCTGGAAGTTCACTCCTTGTCAACGTGAGGTGAGTTAAACTCGGGTCACGACGAAATTATTCTACTGTCGTTCTTTTTCACTTTTGTGCTAAGATTATGTTTTTCAGAACAGTTTTGAATTCATTAGTCTAGAGCACAGCTTCTAGGTGAAGAAGATTGGCTTTTTCACATAGGTAGACTACATGAAGCGTTTTTGGTTATAAATGTTATGTTGTTTAGTCATGTTTGGTGATGTTGGGTCATGTTTACAAACCAGTGTTTGTTTGCTTAAACGAGTAAGTTCCGTGATAACATCTATTTTCCATGATTTAGCTCTTACTATGGTTATTTATGAGTATAGACTGGAAGAGTCTTTAAGGACGTGCTGTGGATTTGATTTTAGATTAGAGTGAGACCAGGACAGAGCACGCTTGCATTCTACACAGCTGAGAATACAAGCTCAGTACCCATCACCGGTGTGTCCACTTACAATGTGACTCCCATGAAGGTCAGTTGGGGATCCAGTCCAGGGTTTAGGTTTTCTTGTTCGCAATCTGGTTGCAACTCGAGAAGTGCTTCTCATATGTTACTTCTGCTTTTCTCCCGCTAGAATCAAAAGGGGTTATGCTTGAATCAGAGTCGAAGAGGCCAGCCTTTCAGTTACATTATTTACATGTATGTTGCTCTGGTGCTTTGCTAGTCGGAACGTATTTCAAAATTTTGCATAATTCTTCTCGAGGTTACTTCTGTTGCTTTCTTCTGATTGAAAGTTTTCATGGATCAAGGCGGGACTCTACTTCAACAAAATCCAGTGTTTTTGTTTCGAAGAGCAGCGGCTTCTTCCTGGTGAAAAGATTGACATGCCAGTAAGTTTAAGCGACCATGAGCACATAGAAGAAGCATTTCCTTATCCATGGCTTTTGCCTTGTTACACGTTGGATGGTGATAAAACCAATTTGTGGCATCATGCAGGTGTTTTTTTTTATCGATCCCGAGTTTGCAACTGACCCAAAAATGAAGGGTATTAATTCTTTGATTTTATCTTACACTTTCTTTAAAGTTGAGGAAGCGCCTCAAAAAGAGACTGTGGCATCGCCTCAACCCGCTTAATCTCTTCGAGCCTCTAAAGAAATTTCATGCATTTAGGCCCAGATTTTGCAGGACACCTTCGTGATTTGAAGATAATGTTTTGGAGTGAGGCCGCAGACTGCAAATTCTGCAGGGCTTCAGGTGATCATACCTTATCAAGTCAAACTTTTTGGTTTATATTGGCAAGTGAGCTGAGAATAATTTAGCAATACCTTATTTCTGAGATTATTTTGCCTGCTTTCTACACACAACACGCTACACTGATTTATCCTCCCTTTTTACATACTAGTGTCCTAGTTTCGAGGTACGAACTGCACGTACGAACTTGAGTTAGCTATTAATAAATTGGGCTTCACTTCCGTCATTCAACAGGGGAAAATTTGCATCTGTGTTTGCGTCTTTTTCTTATTTGATAACTTCGATGTTAGTTGATGTGTATTGTGGTAGCATTGCTTTGGGATCCACTGACCACGCTCTTCTGTGGTGGCACGGATACACATCAACTAACACCGAAAGCAACGTTTTCCAGGCTGGGATAATCCTATACCAGATTTTAAAATTGAAGGTTCTTATATAATGTATATATTTTTAAAAGTTTTTATCATTCTTATGTAATTCAACAAAATTAACCAATTTGTTAAATTATATGCTTTAAAATTGTAAAATTTAAAATATCTTATCTATTGGCTGGACAAATTATTCCATGCTATTACCTCACATATAAAGAACATATCATTTATAATATATCACAGTATTAAAAATAAATAAATAAATAATATATATAAATAAATAATTTTTTAAACTACTAATTGTAATTGAAATACTTTGGTATGTATTATGTATACTATATTCAAAGAGACAATTAGTCACCAATTGAAAATAATCTTTTATTTTTAATTATTATTTGAAAAATATATGTATATATATATACAATTCTTTTCAATAAATTTCACTTTTAAATGCTTTTGGTGAATATATATTAAGGACATGAATATCAATATAGGAAAATCTCAATATACTCTAGTATCATTCTAAAAGATTAGGAAATCACTCAAAGATAGAAATATATTGAATTGGAATAGCTATTACCAAAGACAAAAAGATTAGAAAGTCTTGAAACAAGACTAAGGACTAAAGTGAAAAAGGCTTCACTCTTACTTCTATATATAATATCTAAAAATAAGAGCTACATAGCAATGTTTTATAAGACCTTCAACACATGTTAATTTTGCAAGCTACATATCTTAACTTAAAAGGCAAATTTTCTATATGTGTGTCACATAATTAGCTTTATCGACAAATTGCCAACACATTTAATATGTAATTAATATCACATCCAAGACAAAGTCTAATGCATTTGTTTCCATAAAAAATGCCTTAAAAAAGTTGATGCAATCCAAAATTGGTATTGAAATAAATTCCTTTGTTAAAGCAATAAACAATGTTTTGGCTTCTTTACTCCACTTGTATTTGTTTTTACAAATCAAACGTGTTAGTGAGAAAAAAAAAAAAAAAAATCTCTATACGTTCCTGTGTCATTCAAAAAGACTAGAAAATCATTAAAAAATAGAAATATATTGAATAAGAATGGCTATTGCTAAAGACATAAAGATTGAAAAGCCTTGAAACAAGACTAAAGACTAAAAAGTTGTTGACAAGAGTAAAGAAGGCTTCACTCTAGCTTCTATATATATTATCTAACTAGAAGCTATATAACAATGTTCTATAAGACCTTCAACACATGTTGACTTCGTAAGATACATATCTTAACTTGTATCACAGATATACATATATATTCTAATAATTTTGACTTATACATGTTTGTAGTTGATTGGTAGGTTAGAAACTTGGTCGACTTGTTAATCACATATCACATATGTTGATAGCTTGTGGAACAAGCTAACTATATGGCACACATATAGAAAACTTATTTTGTAAGTTAGGATATGTCTTGCTAAGTCAATACATATTGAAAGTCTTATAAAACATCACTACATAGCTCTTAGTTAGATAGTATATATGGAGGTGAGAGTGAAGCCTTCTTCACTCTTGTCAATGCCTTTTTAGTCCTTAGTCTTCTTTCAAGACTTTATAATCTTATGTCTTTGGCAATAGTCATTCTAATTTAATATTATATCATCTTTAAGTGATTACTTAGTCTTTTTGAGTGATACAAGAGTATATTGACTTTTTAGTTCTTTGAGGTTCATATTCTTGACAACTTACAATACAAGTTTCCTATATGTGTGTTATATAATTAACTTATTCTACAAGCTACAAACATAAGTGACATGTGGTTAACTTGTTTTTCAAGTTTTTAACCTACTAATCAACTATAAACATGTGTAAAGTCAAAATTAAATCTATGAAGCTTATAATAAGCTTTTTTAAAAAATATTTAGAAATTAATCTAGTTTTATCTACTTCTACTTAATCATATAAGTAATTATTGAAGTGAATATATTTTTCCATGATATTATGTATATGAATATTTTATTAACACGTTCCAATTTTTTTGATAAAACTTAAGAATCATTTCATTTAGTCTTAAAGCTTTCTTTAATCATATATTAATAACTTCTAGAGCTAATTCTTTAAAGACAAATAATTCTTAAAATTTCATCTTTATGCTATTTATTAACCTATATATTGAATAACTTTAGATTTGATATTTATTTTTATTTAAGTTAGTTTGGTCTTATAGAATTTTTTGATATAACTAAAATATATTCTAATAATTTTACCTTGATTGCTATATATTATCTATTTCTTTTCATTTTTTTAAATCAATAATAATGTCTTAAATATGGAGATTATTAAATTTTAAAAATTCTATGGTGTCATGAAAATGTTACTACTTTGTATTAAAGACATTATTTTAAAGTTTTTTTTAAAAAAAAAATAAAATAAAATAAAAAATCTTGAAGAAAAGTACTCCAATTCATAATTTAAATATATTTATATAACTAATTTTTGTTAAACTGATTTAATTAATTCTTTTAAGTTTTTTTAATTGTCCTAATAGTTATATGATTTCTTCTATGACATTTTTGTCAGTTTGATGGCTAATTTTTCTTTTTTAAGTATTTTTCTTATTTTTTAAAAACTATTAAGTATATTTTAACTTATTTTATTATTATTAAAAATGCATGTTATAAAAAACTTCTGATATTTTTGTAGTTATTCTTGACATTTTTCAAAAGACTTTTATTTATAAACCATGTCGATTGCTATAAATTTGAATGGCATATTACAATTTTGATTTGATTTTTTTTTTACATCAAAATTACTCAAAATTTCTTATCACCAAATATTTTTGAAAAATTTGGAGTATCTTTACAGAAGAATTTAGTACTCTACTATAAACTAACAGAAATAAAAGAAACTATTCCCTTATATTCATTTGTAACTTTTACTTAAAATGGAAGAAAATTTCATGTCATAATTACAGGTATTACAAATTAAAGATTATACATCATTACATTAAGAAACTTTTATTACATATATTAATGCATTTAAAAAGAATAAAAGATACACCCCCAATATAATGAAGTCAATTCATCATGTCATAGGTGTCATTCTGTACTTCTAACAAGGTGATATTTTTCTATAAAGGTTTATTAATTGAAACGCAATATACGATCCTTGTTGAGAATCGGGTTTTTCAATCTACACTCATGTTTGGCAATGAAAAGACTGCTACATTTTCAACACTCTCGATTTGCATTCACAAACTAAGCTGGTAACAACAAGAGAACCAACCCACGAAGCAACAAAGACACAATCTAGACAAATTTTCATCTGGAAGTATGACTCTATTGCCAAGTTCAGGCGGCACATCGCATCTTACCAAGTCTATGTACACAACATTTTTGCATAGAATAGCAGCTGTTGTTGAAATCGTCATCAAGACTGATCTCAACAAGCAGCACGGTTCATGACCATACACAAAGAACAACTCAGTCGTAGCAGCCTGATATGTGTATATCAGGGAACCAGGGATAAGTTTTGAGCAAATAGTAGCAGAACTTGATGAATTAAACTTGATGCGTCTGGAGTCTCCCATGCAGCGGTTATGATCCAACAGCAACAAACTGTACTACACTCTTCGAACAATGAACTTTGTTCGCCCTGTGAACAATCAACTGGGCCTGCCTCCAGGATTGCTCCGGAAAAAAACTGATTCTCGCGCTGACAAAGGTAATTGCCTAAATTGACAAAACTTGAAGTAGTCACATGAGCGAGTTACAATCTCGTGTTCTGCAGACCAGGGTTTTCAGCGCATGCCTTTCCTGATAAACTGGGGCTCCGCTCCTGCAACTTGGCTGGCTTGACATTTGCAAATGCACATCCGGTTGAAATTCGTAGTGCCAGGGAGGTTAATCCCAAATCATGACGATACCGATCAAGGTAGCCCCAAGCACAACGGCCGCCCAGCGCCAAAGAGGTCGGTCAAGAGCAACTTTTTTGTTAGGCTTATGCCCTTTGGCTAGCAAGTGATTGATTGCAACATAGACGAACACTCCGGTGGCAATGCCCATGGAGACGGCGTAGATCCAATCTGCGATGCGGCCCTCGACCGTGGAGTTGATGATGATCCCGATGGCAACACCAATAGGGGTGGAGATAGCGAATGCGAATGCGTACAGGACGCACTGTAGGAGGGGCCGATTTGGCAGCATGCGCAGGAGCGCGATGCCCATCGCTATGGCAGCGAAGACCTTGTGAAGCGATACTGTCCACAGTGACGTCCATGTGTCGTCCTTCGTCGCCGCCACCCCGATAGCGATCCCTTCAAAGATAGAGTGAAAGCACAACGCAAAGATCAGGAGCACAGCGTCGCTGAGGTTGTAACTCGACTGAATCGCCGCTTTGGTTTCCGAAGATTCAGTTGGGCTCTCCACATCCGCAGCCGCTCTCTTCTCAGACAGGTAATCGTGGGCACCCTGAACCGTGGATACCTTGCGATCGTGGACACTCTGAATCGCCACATCTGCGAGCATAGTCAGCAGATACCCGACAACGGCGAGCATCTCTGAATACGCGTAGAATGAAGTCGGTCTCAATCTCCTGAAGACGTCATGCGAATCGCCGAGGAAGTGAATCATGGCTGTCGCTAGAAATACCCCACCAGCGAACTGGGTTCCAAGAACTAAAAACGCTTCATTCCACCGGAAGAAGTAGGGCGAAATACCTCCCAGGAACGTGGCAAAGAATACAATAAGCAATGCGTAAACCTTAGTAAGTATCAAACTTTTATCCCTCAAACCCGGTCCCTCAGAATCTCCCGAATGAGAATGGCCAACGTGCGCGTTGGCTAATGAAAGCTCAGCCGCGAGCCACACAAACAGCAACACCCTCAAAGCCGACAACTTCGTCATCTTAGCCATCACCTCTGAACCGCCCCAACCTGCCTACAGATTTCCTCCTTCCCTCTGCAACTAGTCTACCAATGCATTGATTACCGTTGCCGCCCAACAATCGATTCTCAAGTCAGCTAAAAACCCGAATCCGTCGAAATCAATCAGCGCCGTGTTAACATTGTCCGCGACGAGAGATCGCAGATAGCACCCGCAACACCCAACGCAATAAGTTGATGACAAGTCGCCGAAGAGTTGAGGATGCAGAACTACGAGATCGCAGGGAGGAAATTTGGAATCAGAAGTTGCGTCGGGCTTCAGGCATATATTTCATCAGCATGTGCGGGAAACAACACACTTATCCTGGTGGAGTACAGAAGTACAAGTGTAGTACAAGTCCGAAGCCTTCAAATGCCGCTGTCAATAGATTTCGTTGTACTACAAGCCCCAGTTGGAATCTAAACCAACGAATTTAACCTACTCTCACCACCTAATGGACAGAATGAAGCTGGACGCGAAATGTGTGCCCCTATTTTAGTGTAACTGTCTTCAATTAGCAAGCTAATTAACTTAATTAAGATTTGATGAAATAAATTTTGGAGATTAAACACAACCAAATGAGAGTTCTGTGGAACTCATCCATGGGTGAGTTGGAGTCGGTTCTCCACCGCCGTTGAACATCTCTCTCTCATTCAGCCCCCGACCAAATTTAAATCATTTCATCATTCCATCAAGTATCTAATTATTTGCCCCCCTGCAGAGTCCAAATCCTTCAGCAACATGTCTAGATTCTTGGGTTGATAGCTCTGGCGCTTATTTATTGACACAAAATTGCAAGTGGGGGGGGGGGGGGGTAGATTACAATTAAGATAAAAAACATGATAACTTCCACTCTGGCTTATTTACCCTCCAACTTGCCAGCACTTGGTTTGTACACCACCATTGGCAAAATTGTTTAACAAATTCAGCTGCATGAAGTGGTCTACATTTCATGTTCTCCTACTTTTTAAACCACATGTTCCTTCCATAGTCTACTAATTACAACCATATTCAATGATATACTTGTTCCCTTATCAAGAACACTCATTTGAATACATCATTTTGCTCAATCCACAAAACCTATATAACAATCCCTCATATCAATAACCAAATTCAATTGACTTTTTAAAATTATCTAAGGGTCCAATATGCAAATATACAATGTATCCATGACATAGGGAATTGTATATGTCAAATTCCTTAAACATTTCTTCTCGTAGTAATAAGTTGTACTCTCTGTGCTTTAGCACTATGGCCCAAATTGTTTGTAATTCTATTGCCTCTCTATTCTTATCTCCCTTATTGAATAATAGTTGAAGTGAATAATTGAAGGAAGTGTATCCTCCACTTCCATGCTTTGGATAAAGAATGACATTCTCGAAACCTATGTAACATTGTTTCTCATACTCTATGCATTCACTCATGACAACATTCATTTAGGTCTTTATTAACTTGTCTTTGCCACGAGTTCACCACAACTTCCTTATGCCATATTAGCCATAGAAGACCTTCTTCCTTTTTTGCTCTTTCTACATCTCAAATGTCAGCTTATTTGAGTTTGAATACTTTTGAGCATATGCCTTCTCACTTTTATGAAATTATGATTGATACCACATGTTGCTTTAAAGCATAGTATAATCTAATTGAGCTAAATATTGCATAAATGGTATTTTGTCAAGGACATGAATCTCAAAGAAAAAAAATCCTCAATATACTCTTGTATTAGTGAAAAGAACTACAAAGTCACTCAAAGATAATATAATATTGAACTAGAATGGCTATTGTAAAAAACAAGAAGATTAGAAAGTCTTGAAATAAGAGTAAGGACTAAAAAGGCATTGACAAGAGTGAAGAAGGCTTCACTCTTACCTCCATATATACTCTCTAATTAGGAGCTACATGGCAATATTCTATGGGACCTCTAACATGTGTTGACTTTGCTAGCCACATGTCTTAACTTGTAAGACAAGTTATTTATATATGCACCACATAATTAGTTTGTTTTACAAGCTACAATATAGAGTTAACTTGTTCAACAAGCTATTAATATGTATTTAACTTGTAGGCTAAGTTTCTAACCTATAAACACATCTAAAGTCAAATCCATATCTATAAAGCTTCTATAAAGCTTATTTAGAAGACTTTATAAAATTAATTTATATTTACTTATTTCTACCTAATCATATAAGTAACTATTGGGATAAATGTATATATCGATGACATTATCTCTCCTTCTAGGGACAAATTCCATAAGGAGCAATCATCATCTTTCATCGATCTTTGCAATTCTTCACCTTAGTTTTGATGGATGTCGTTGATGAAAGGCCTCAACTTTTTTTGTTGCATTTGTAAAATTCTTTACTGGCTCTCATGTGTATTTGCTAATATCATATCTATGCTAATGAATGAGATATTCCAACATATTTTGGTGCCACCTTGAATCTAAGACTTCTTCTACATCGAACTCTTGATTATTATCCACTTCTATAGGAAAATAGTGGCATTTGTCTTCTATTTGACATATTCACTATCTTATATGGCTTAAGAAAGGACATGTGAAATATAAGGTGGATCTTCATAGATTCCAATAGATATAATTGATAAATAATATGATTAATTTATTCACAAATAGGAAAAGGTCTCACCTTACAATAGTCCAACTTATCACAAGGAGGAGTAGTCTTGATATTGCAACAAAGTAATTATACCTTAACACCCACTTTGAATTGTGGTTGCTTCTTGCAATAGATATTTGTGTAGGTCTTTTATTGTTCTTAAGCTTCTTTTAATTGTGCCTTCATTGTTGTATGTAGCTCTAACAAATAATTTTTTAAATCTTCTGCCACAAGATTATTAACTTTTGAAAAGTCAAAAATATCAAGTCGTGGATGATAATCATAATTGAAAAATAAAGATGTTTATATAGTAGAAGATTTTACCAAATTATTATATGCAAACTCTACCAATGACAAAAGACTTATTCAATCATCTTGATGATAATTGATGGTATACCTCAAATATTCCTCTAGAACTTGATTGACTTGTTTTGCTTATCAATTAATTTGAGGATGAAAAGCCAAAGAGAGCTTTATATCCACTTTTAGAATCTTCAATAGGGTTCTCCAAAATTTTGATATGAATTGAGTCCTCTTATTTGATATAATATCCTTTGACAATCCATGATAGTGATAGATATTGTTAATAAAAAAGCTTAGTTATTTCTTCACTTGAAATAGATTTTTTACATGGTACAAAATGTGTCATTTTAGTGAAGTAATCTATGATTATAAATATATAATCATATGAACTTGAATTTGAAAGATTTATAATAAAATCCATAGAAATGGAAGTCCATGGTTGTTCAGATATAGACAATAGTTGGAAAAGTCTATGGAGTCGATGACAAGGAGTTTTTTAACTTAAACAAATGTTACATGAATGGACAAAGTCTTTTACCACCTTTTATATTTGTGACCACCAAAAATCTCTACATATAAGTTCTAAAGTCTTGTTGTATCTAAAATATCCTATTGCTTGAAAGTCATGACATGCTTTACTTTCTAGAACATATAGGCATCCTTTGAAGTAAAGTAGGTTGTTTTTGAATTCAAACTTTGAAATATCATAAGAATTAGAAGAAAGATTCTTGATATCATGATGAAATATTTAAGGTTCCTATAATAGCCCAAAAAGCATTACACATCTCTTATTGTTCTTCAAATCTTCTAATCTATGATAGTTTGGACCTTCTTTGAATCCAACATAAGGCCTTTATTAGAAATGATGTATCTCAAAAAGTAAACTTGAGTAGTATAGAATATCCACTTTTCCATCATTGTGTATAATCTTGCATCTCTTAGCTTTTGTAATACATGATGAATATAAACTTCATGTCCTTTTCTGTTCTTAGAATAGATTAAAATGTCATTCAAATAACAAGTGACAAAATCATCAAGAAACTCATAAAAGACATCATTCATTAGATGTTGAAAAGCAACTGGTGCATTCATAAATTCAAAAGGTATGAAATTATATTCAAAATGTCCATACCTAGTTCGGAAAGCAGTCTTTTATTCATCTCCTTCTTTGATATAGACCAAGTTATATGCTCCTCGCAGATCTATTTTTGTTTTGATCTTTACTTGATTTAGTTGATCAAAAAGATCTTAAATCAAAGGTAGATGATACTTATTCTTCACAGTGATCTTGTTAAGTCCTCGATAATCCACACACATCTGTAGAGATCCGTCTTTTTTCTTCATAAATAAGATAGGAGCACTGGTTGGAGATTTTGAAGACTAGAAGTCTTAACTTGCAAGGCAAATTATCTATGCATGCGTTGTCATATTACATGAAATCTTGTTTGAGAATGCAATGGGCACTTGGTTGTAGAAGATAAAAGGAATTTGTAACAACAAATCTTAACGACTCTAATAAAATCGTATATAAATTGCTATAGAAGTTTAAAAAATATATTCAAGCTTCAATTAAGTCCAATCATTATTATTATTATTATTATTATATTTATTTTATTTTTGTTTTTATTATTTTATTTTATTTTATTCTATTTTTGAAATAAATTATAAAAAAAATACATAAAAATATTAAAGAAACCTAATAAAAATCCTAAAGAAATCCTAATAAATCCTAAAAAATCCTAAAGAGATCCAAACCAACCTTAAACCAAACCAAATCCTAATCCTAATAAAATCCTAATCTGAACCAAAACTTGATCAATTTTTAAAATTTCAAATAAATTTCTAACAATCTTATAATAAATTTTGAAATTCAATAACTAATGTTAGAATTGTCAATTTGAACTCAAATTTTTCACATTCTTGACTAATTAAGTTAAAAATAAGTATAAAAAAAATTGAAAAGAATCAAAATCACCAAATAGATGATAACCTCAAAAATGTGCTTGGGTGTCAGCTCGCCTCCTTCTCCAAGCTTGATATCAATCTCCCAAAGCTAATTATTCCTGATTGAATCATTATTTTGCTTCCAAAATTTAAAAAATTATTAGAAATCAAGCTGACTATCTATATGAAAAAAATTTCTTCAATCTAATTCGTAGATTGACATTTATCTAAGAAAACCCCACTTATCCTCAAGTTCCTAAATATTAAGACCATAATCCACAAAAATCTTCATGCTTTTCAATCTAACTATTTGATCAAATCCAAATTCATAGCAAACATCTAACATAACTACATCCACAAATCTAAAAAATTTTACTTATAGATCTATTATCAAACTCTTGAAATTACCCAAAACGTCAATCTTATTTTATTTTCCAAAAGCAAAGTCACTAAAAACAACATTGACTTTGCCAAGCT